ATATAACTAAAATTGTTATTCTTGTATCTACCTATTGTACTTACTACCTGTCTTTCGGGCTTTCTACCTATCATGTTCTGAACCAATRTATTGGTTTATGGAACCAAAAAAAATAATACATCGGATCGGTTTTAGTATTACGAGTATACGCCTATACCTATGAACTACAAAACAATACCTACATGGTATTATTAGGTAGTCAATGTAATTCAATAAGGTATTCAATAAAACTATTAAACAGTAAATTTTTATATCAAGTGGTTTTAGCATTGTGACTTTAGGTATGGGTAACAGGCATGTCCGCCATGTCCTATCCATTTTAATAATAACTAAGATAATAAGATCAATCTGCAATCATTGCAATATCAATCAGTTTTTTATCAAATTCATTTATATAATAATATCAATCGTTAGTATTCGTTACAATGTTAATCAGTTTCTTATCAAAAACCTACRTATTTCACACACGGTCTCCGTTAAAAGCGATGATAACAACTTAAACAACTAACATTAATTTTAACAGGACAACAAGTAGACAGCACTACAAGTCTACAACAGCTGCAGTTGTAAGCAGTAAGCATTAAGCACAAGTTTATCTGACTCTGACACCAAGTCACCAACACCTGCCTGTATAATAATAGGCTTTACTATTTATTGCTATACGTTTTAACTTAATCCACTATAATAGTAATATAGTCTTTAAAGCTTACAACAGATTTATTTTTGAATAATTGAATTAACTACTTATTGATTCTTATTGGATCGCATTGTCTATATGAATTCTTCATCAGTAACTGTAAGTAAACAATTACCATTATTCATTTAGGATCAGTGGGTACATTATTAGAATTTAAATTAAATATCTCGTTATAATGATCCACGTACTACCAAGATCTTCAATGCTTTCAATTTCACCACAGAATTACAGTAACATGTCAAGTGGCACCAATGGAACATATGACAAGAATGGACTGTCATCRTCCTCGACTGGGGATGGTGATTATGCAAGTGATCCAGCTTCAGGAGGACTGTCATCATTTTTTGTGTCTGATTATAAAAAGTAAGATTCTAYTATCTATGAACATTGAAAAATACAATTTATTTTACATTATAACTAATATAAGCAATTTGTTGTTTCTTATCCAATTTTTTAATTATTATAAATCAAATGTCTACTAAAGTATTTTACTAAAAAAACTATTAAAATTTAAAGA